AGTCAGTACAAAGGATGGTGTTTGTCTTGGGTGATGTTGGTGCACCAGCAAAGCCAGCCCAAGGTGAGCCTGCTACCATTCCATTCCACCCAGTTTCTTCTCACTATTGGTTCACCTCCTCCTCATTGGAGCTGGTACAATCATTTCTGTCATTGCTGGAGTGAAATGGTCAGGGAGCAAAGTGCAAAGTCTCACAAACCAACCAACCAATCAACCAACCTGGCAGCAATACAAGTTCAAGGTATTCATACTCCTCCTGCCATCTGCCTTTTGCTTTTCCTTCTGTGTTTCTGGCAGCTTTCTGTGGGACCGGTCAAACCATCAGTAATTGATACAGTTTAGAAAAGTTATGTGAGTTTCTTTCTTTATTAAATCAGACTAGCTATGTGATGTTGTTTGCTCTGAACAATTCCTACACTCCCATTTTGGCAACAGAGATGAACTGAAGCCAGGGTTACAAGAAATAATGAGGCTGTCAGTTGTCTCAAGTAGTATTGCCACTAAGAAGAGAACATGGGGAACTAAACCCTGTGAGTAAAAATGAAGGAAAAATGCGTGCATAATTGCTAAAATTAATTCGTTCCAGTACCAGGCTGGTTCCCTCTCAAATATGCTGGCTCCTACTGTGCATTTCCAAGTCAAAGTAACCTGCTAATTGAGACAGAACAATCAGATAGGAAAAATATGGAAGATGATGTCAGATATATCAAGCCACAGGCAACCAGGAGAATTTATATGCAATATCTGAAATTAGTGTTATCTGACAAGGACCTGTCTGGACTGGTATGTGACCCTGTAAGGCTGAGCTTGATCCATTCGCCATAAACTTCATCCACATAAGGACTTGACAAAAACTCCTTTAAATAAAGCACTGCAGCCACCTAGCCTTGAAAAGATGCAAGTGTTCAGGAACATTCTGATCACAAACTGGAACTAAGCAAAATCCTTCCATGTACTTGTAGATACTTCAGAAGCCACTAAGAGGTGGATCTGTTGAAGCCAATAAGAGTAACAAACTGAATTAAGTAACAGAACAACCAGAAGTCACTAAAAGGCAACAGTGATCCATCAGTGAGTCCGTCTCTCGAGTTCATCTTTACAAAGCTGCAGGACAGTAATTTTTGCTTGGCTCATAATCAATGCTTGCTAATGCTATGTTCTCTGGTTCTGCCTAACACTGATGAGATAAGGAACAAAAGGATCAATGCTCTCATTGTGTTTACTGGGAAACCAGTAATCAGGACAGAGGACTCAATTCCCTGAATCCTAATTATACATGAATTTGCTCAAGTATCTATTTAGACTGCCGTAAATTATGAACAAACAGCAACAAATAGATGAGAAGAGGAAGGTGTCAGTGGCAGAAAATGTGGACAGGATCAAATATAAACCTATGCTGCTGCTGTATAAGGGCACTTCTAATTTTCCTCTGCTGTCGACTGCTGTGTCATTTCCAGACCACAAATCATGTAGCAAACCTCACCTGCCTCTTCTCAAAAATTCTCAAGTTGGGCACCCACTATGAAAAAAAGACTCTTATTTCACTGAGATTACCTGCCCATCTGGACTCATACTTTGATTCCTGATCTTCTGAACAGTAAAGACAGCAAAGAAACCTTAGAAGTACCACATAGCATAACAAGATGATAATGACATTCCTGTTCTCTCTTCTCTAAAGGGAATTTTCAGTAGGTCAATTAGAATTTTGATGTTAGTTAACTACCAAAATTAATTTCTGATTTTCCATTTAGCTACAGAACTAGCTGAGAAAGAAAAAAGAACACAGCATATAATCAAAAACAGGATGAAAAATGGAAAAGATTCAAACAATGGTCACAAATGTACTTTTTATTTTCCAGGTGCACAATAGCTTTAAAAATTTCTCTTTTAAGAGGCGTGCAAGGATTGAAAGGAGATTGAAAGGATTGAAAGGATTGAAAGGTGTGGCAGCCTATGACACACGTATATTGTGCAAGTTACAGTATTTTTCTCTGATGTGTTTGGTGCTGTCCAGTGTTGAGAACAGGCTACTAGTGTACATGAGCTCAGCTGGATAGTCTGTGTTCTTGTAATGGGCTGTTTTGTTAAAGAGCTACTTGACAACCAACGTATTTGTTATTTTTAAATTCCCTGAAAAAATTCAGACTCCTAGCTCATGAAAAATGCATCCCTTCTGAAACACTACCTAAACTGAATATATACACATTCATTTTTTAATAATCACACTTACAGATACTTTACATGGAAAAAGAATCCAAGTTCGTGATTACTGATATTTAATATCAGCAAGGTCACACTGGTAAAATACCAAATTAGCAAAAAAAAAAGTTTTCCATCTCAGTTCTTCTGCTTGTTATGGTCTAAGAAAGACTCTTCAAAATAAAAATCTTGTACTTTTTATTCTTCTTTATACATGAAAAGAACAGCCTTGTGCCATCCTCAGTGATAGGAAGTGACAGGCAGAGCATGACATCACTCTTTGTTTTTAACTGACTGCCTTCTGGTGAATTTATTTTGCAGTCAGTAAATATTATGGCAGTGTTAATCGTATTCAGGCTTTAAGGAGACAGAAGCCTTGTGCTGAGTTTGATCCCAGAAGTTGGCAGTTCTTAGCTTTTGAAGGGAGAATCTTTTTTTCCAAATTTGGCACAATGGCTTATCCACAGACAGATCAATAGGAATGTCTCAGAGAAATGCTAAAGTACACATCAAAGGTCTACAACCTCCAAAGGCATCCATGTGGATTCTTCCACTGTAGCCACATCAGACAGACTCAACACTTACAAAAGCATCAAACCTTGTAGTCAAAAACACAGGTTTATTCTGCAAGTAACTGATATTTAAGGACACTTATCACCAGTCTGACTTCAGCAGCTTTTAACAGCTCCCATGTTCTTCTTATCACTATATTACTTGTCTTCTTAGTATCATTACACATGCGATGTCCAAAATAAGATAGGGTCAGTAAGTTTATTACCAGAGAACAAATACATATTTCTGTCCTCCTACAGACAGTGAGAGTCTTTAAAATAAAGAAGTGAAGAAACTGCACCTTCATGATGCCCAAAGCAAGCAGGGATCCAGCACAGACCATGCTCATACTATCTTATCTCCACTGTCTTTCTAGATCTAGTTGGCTTTCCTCATCCACCAACTCGTCTTTTGGCTTCCCTTCAAGGAAAACACTGTCATTTATTAATCCAGTATTCAAGCATGCTGTAACTTTAATAAATATCACATCATAACTGTTATTACTAAGTAGTGCTACTAGTAGAAGACCAAAATCTGAAAACATGAGTTTTGCATGCCCACAATAATAAGAACAACTAGATAGATGCAAGGGCAGAAAATAGGTGATTTCCACCTAAAAAAAAAAAAGAGTATAGCGAGAAGTCTCGTCTCCTCTCTGTCCTTCACTGACACTCCCGCTCCAAATCACAGAATCATAGAATCAGCTGGGTTGGAAGGGACCTCCAAGATCATTAAGTCCAACCCTTGATCCACTACCGCTGTGGCTAGACCATGGCACTGAGTGCCACATCCAGTCTTGTCTTAAAAACCTCCAGGGACGGAGAATCCATCACTTCCCTGGGCAGCCCATTCCAATGTCTGATTTCCCTCTCTGTAAAGAAATTCTTCCTAATATCTAACCTAAACCTCCCCTAGCACAGCTTAAGACCATGCCCTCTTGTCTTGCTGATAGTTGCCTGGGAAAAGAGACCAACCCCCACCTGGCTACAGCCTCCTTTCAGGGAGTTGTAGAGAGTGAGGAGGTCTCCCCTGAGCCTCCTCTTCTCCAGGATGAACAGCCCCAGCTCCCTCAGCCTCTCCTCACAGGACTTGTGCTTGAGTCCCTTCATCACTTCACTCAGGCAACTATTACCACGCCTTAAGTCTGCAAACAGCATATACACAACTTAAAAGAATTACTTGTTGACTAAATCACACAGCAGCTGGAATTAGTAAGACACTAATCTCTTTTGGTAAGAGACCCTGTGAGTCCTGGTTGAAACAAGTGGTCGACCATCAGGCTCTACTGTTTCTTGCATCAGGATAAAAGTCCTTAGTGTTGCTCTTTCTGCTTTCCTTTCTCTGAGGATTCTGTATCCTTCCATGCTTTGCTTCTTGAATCTATAAACTGCTGATTCCATCTCAACAATTTTGATTCTGCCTACGATTTTACTTTTCTTATCTGGCATGGCTCAAGGTTTCTTAGTACTTCCTCTCAAGTCTTTCTCGCTATTTTTGCAGAAGTCAGAAGAAAGGTTAGTTGATTGGGCTGAAAAAGAGGGTCTGCACCCTGATGGCATTGTGTAGCCTACAAACTCTGAACAGTATGGGGGAATTGTCCCGATTTCCATATGGAGTAGGTCTTCTAGATGACATCTTCTTATAAAATTAATTTTCTGTTACTGAATAGACCAGTGAGATGCTTATAAGGAAACGCTACACACGTTAACGAGAGTGTAAGGCAGAACATCCCTAAATATTTCCACGTTATCATTATCCAAGTAAAAACCTGAAAATACTCAAAAAGCGGGTGCGACATGTTATGTACACCGAGATGCCTCGGTGCGGTTACGAGCCGAGCCGCAGCACTGCGCTGCCCCACCGAGCGCATCTCCACCCATTAATGAAGAGCGACAGTCACGACATGACGTAGCCAACAGCTCACGCGCCACTCGACAACTCCTGCGCCCGCCGCCGCGACTGAGAAGGAAACTGTGTGCCAGCCCGCGGCTTTGGGAGCATTCCCGACGGGACCCGCCCGACCCCGGCTCCCCGGGGGCTCCGGGCACACATGCCTTCAGAAAAGCCACGGCAGCACCAACGCGGCCCCGGGCTGGCGTCCGCCGGAGCGCCATGAAATAAAAGAGCGAATCGTCTTGTCCCTAGTTTTCGTTTGTCTCCTTGCCCGGCGTAATCCGCTATTTCCTTCCGGTGCATTATTTTCTTCCGGTGCATTCGCCGCTGCAGGCGCGGCGCGGCGGGCGCGAACGATGGGCGGTGCGGGTGAACGCGCTTTTCGGACATTCAACGTGGAGAACCGGGCCCGGCCGGAGATAGCAGGAGAAGCCACTGACCCGCGCCGCGGCACGCTCGCATCGCCGCATGACGCCACGGCGGTGGCGTGCGGCTCGCGGGCGGGGGGGGTGCCGGCGGGGGGCGGTGTCTGTGGGGCCGCGCGGTGCGCGCGCGGGGCGGAGGAGGGAGAGCGGGTGCCGGGTGCGGGGGGGGGGCGAACATCGGGGGTGCGGGCGGCGGGGCCGCGGCGGGGCCGGTGACATTGAGAGGGGAGAGGCGCGGGGCATGCCGGGAGCGGCGGGTGCGGAGGGTGGCTCATGGGGCAGTGCATGGGGGGCAGCTGAGGGAAGCTGTTCCTGGAGGTGGTTGCTGGGGCAGTTGCTGAGGCTGGTTGGTTGATGGAGGTGGCTCATGAAGGCAGTTACATGGGGGTGGTTGCTGGGGCAGTTGCTGAGGCAGTTGATAAGGGCTGTTGCTAGGGGCAGTTGCTGGGGTGGTACTGCAGATCTGTACCCAGTGTGCCACAAGCTTCCCACAAGCGTGTGCTTCCCACAAGCGTGTGCTTCCCACAAGCGTGTGCTTCCCACAAGCGTGTGGTTCCCACTGTGCTGTGGCAGGTGACCGGGCGGCACTGCACTGTGAAGCAGCATTGTTAAAGCCAGAGCTGTGGGGAGAATGACAACTTGCCAAGAAGGCCTGTACTTTTGGAGGAGCCATGCCATGCCTTCTGGGGAAGCAGTGAGCTAGCAGAACTAACAAAAAGGAAACAATTTGACTCAAATCTGTCTTTTCTCCTTTTTAAATCCCCCTTGCCTTCTTCTCCTCACTGCCTTTAGATCAACCAGAGATAAAAGAAGAAATTTTAAGAAAGGACGATAGGCTTCTCACATTGCTAAAAGATGTTTATGTCGAGTCCAGAGATCCGCCAGTACAGGTGAGTATGTCTCTTTGTAGGAGCCATACCAGCATCAGCTTTGGGGTCACCAAAGTCAGTGCAAATTTTGTGTCAAGAAAAATGCTCTGTCAATGCCTAAAAACTACCTTATTTTAGTGGATAAAAGTGGTGGTTTTATTACCCTTATATACATCAGTAGCACTGACTGTATCTGACCTTGTGTTTTGAACATGTGATGGACTGTGATTATACAAGTTTTTAAATGCTTACAGAGTCTTCCTTTTTAACATTGTGTTGATCCTGTTTTGTTTTTTACTTAAATTCTCACTTGGGCAGTTGTCCAGCCTTTTGCAAAGACACAAGAATTTGCAGAGATCGCTTGTGGCATTGTAAGAAGAGATTAAGACTGCTGTGGCAGCAGTGATGTGATAGAGGACAAAGATGTTAACATTTTAATGGAGTCTTTAAGTACTGATGTTCATGTCATATAGTGCAGAGACTTTTTTTTATCTGGCTGATTAAGTGCCTTAGGTTTTTTCTGCTTAACCTTACGGCTTGTATGGTTATCAGTTTCTTTATTGCCAGGCTGCAGTCTTTGACTTGGGAAGGCAAAATGTACTCCTTCTCATTCAGTAAAATGCAGACTGGGGTTCAGTCTCCTGTTTTCCATCATGTTATGTTATGGCTTGTGCATTTTACTTGTTGCATTATTGGACCACTTTCTTCCAGCTACTTTATTCAATAATAAAATTTTTATAATAATTTTTAGAATCAACAGAATTCCTAAGTCTCTCTGATTTGCCACTTACATGGTATTCAAGTCTAAAAATATTTAAAATGCAAACAAATTTCTTCAGTCTCTCCCTGAAGTTTCCATTTAATCTCTATCCTTAATTTTCATCATAGAAGATAGTACTTTAATATTCAAGTGCTGAAGGTCTAATTTCAGTATCTTTCAATAAGCCTGTCAAGAGAGCTTTGAAAAAAAGCCCAAAGTGGAACAAATCTTTCCTTAATTCTGAGGTTGCTGCCACATAAGACTTGCTCGTCTGTGTCTGCTCGTAGTTGTTAGGAAGAACATGATTGATGTGTAAGCACAGAGATCTATGGGCAAAACTTACTCCAAACGCTTCCTTCCGTTCCTGATGTCACACTGACAACTTTGTGCATTGTGTACATTTTGTGTACCTACCTCTATGAGTGTTTGGTATGTCTGTCTGTGGTAGGTGGAAAAGCACAGCTCTGGAGTCCTGAATAGGCAGATGCCCAGAGAGAGATCATTTAATCAAGACTTGAAAAATCATTCATTATCCAGGCACAGTTTTAGCACAAAGTAGAAGGAATGCATGGAGGACAGATCAGACATTCTCTGTAGTTTAGAAACAGACACAGATGTTACATCTACATCAGTTTTCTCAGCATGTGAGTTAATACAGAGTGTTTGTGCGCCAGTCAGTGGCTGTGGACTCTGATTACTTTAAAAGTACTTTTTCTTAAATTTAAGAAAGATTTAATTGTGTCCTTTTGTTTGTGTGCATGTCATTCACTAGTAAAATCTTAATAAAAGGCAATATGAGGAAACCAAAATTGGTTTGGAAATTACTTGAAAATATGAAGGGATCTTGGAGAAGAGACTTTGTGTGTCTTCATGCTTCAGTAGCCATGGCAGTGAAACTCTATATGGTGCTGCAAAATAGTTTCTTTTTGTCCAGGAAAGCTTGTTCTCTAGACAGAGCAAAGGAAGGAATATTTTTAGTAGCAAAACTAAAATTTGAATATGAAAGGAAGGGGAGAGAGACTACATAAAAAAGTTTTCCAGTAGTATCAGAAGGATACCAATTTGTTGTATGATTTTATTTTTTTTGTCCCTTGCAGTGAATCAGTACCAAGTATTAGGTTATCTGCATTTACATTTGGCTACCAAAATCTGTAGTTTGCTTTGTATGAAGGGCTGCCAAGTCTGTACAACACAGAGTGCAATGGATGGGATGCTTTTCAGCATTTGGTTGGGAGTTGACATGTAGGCAGTTGTATGTAGAATGGCTGTGAAAGAAATTACAAGAAGCAAGGCTGGCTAAGATTAATTTTTTTGTGAAAATGAAGAAAGCTTACAGGAATTGCCATATTTAGGAAAACAGCTTTGCTACAATATGTATAGTAAACAGAACTGTTAAGTTCTTTTTGTTTTCCTTCCCACAATTAGGTAAAAGATGGAGGTGGAGAACATCTTCCGTGTAAACAGGAGGAAAAGAGACTTACAAAACTAGGCCATTTGGGAGCTCTAGATGTTAAAAAAGTTTCCAAAGGCAAAATTTCCATTGTGGAGGCTCTGACACTTCTTAATAATCATAAACTTCATCCTCAAATATGGACTGCAGAGAAAATAGCAGCAGAATACAGTCTGGAACTGAAGGATGTCAACTCTCTTCTGGAATTCTTCATTCCTTTCACCGTGCAGGAATTTCCTAAAGAAACCAAAAAAGCTATAAAGTCAACATAAAAATACTTGCCAAAACCTGGTGTGATCTCACTTGTGTCTTAATTTTACTCTTAAGTATATTCAGTGTCTGAAAGTTCAGAGTCGGTAACATGTTGTGCAACAATGCCGCTTCCTTATACCAGTGAGATGTATTCAAGCAATTCCATTCTGTATTGGATGGCTTGCATGAAATGCAGCAATTACAGTTTGTAAACCAGAATATGACCAGTAAGTGGTATGAGAGCATGTCACACAGTTCTGATTATCCCATTCAAACATTACAAGTTCAGTTAAAGCACTTTACCTTAACATTGAAAGATTGCCTTTCTTAGCAGAGACCTCCTGGCCTGCAGCTAAACAGGTGCTCTGCAGGTGTTAGCTCTGTAGTTTCATGTTGCTGTGTTCTTTCAAGGATTTGTTGCCAAGGTGTGTGTATATGCAAACAGCTGTCTTTCTTTTGTGTAAGAATGGAATAGTAGTTATACTTTGTAAAGAAGGTTAACCACAAGATTTGGGAAATTCAGCTGTGTCAACTATAAAATAAAAAGATGAATAGCAAGAAGGCCTCTTTCTGGTGCTGGAACAGTAATGGCTGATACATAGCTCCTTTTCTACTCTATTCTGATTTAGCTTAAATACCTGCACCTCCCTAGGTGCTGTCAGCCAGGGAATTTGTAAAGAGCAATGATCTTCTAGCACCTGCCGAGAAATAATGCTTCATGTTAATAGGTAGCTGTGCAATTCAACTGGATCTACTAATTGGATTCACTAGTAGGTCTTTTGTGAATATGTGCCCATCCTGTTACAACAACCCTTTTTTTTCCCGTGGAAGCATTGTCTAACTGACCCGATGTGGGCTAGGTCAGGTCATGTCTACTCACAGCAAGTTACCCACAACTACCAGACTGAGGATGAACAGCATCCTTTCCAGTTGTTCGTAAAGGATGACACAAACTGTGAGGTGGTAGCGGTGGATTGTAGTCTTGATGCTATGACTGTTTAGGTCTGTGTCGGTAAGAAGTTTTGCACTTACTGTAGTGAAAAGTGGTTCATGTTTTCCAGATAAGCTGGGGCAGATAATCAGAACTGATATTTAAAAATGCATTATGGCTGCCTTCATTCAAAACCCAAAAACTTAATTTTATGTGGCACTAATATTTCTAGAGCCCATCACCAAAGAAGGTGAATTTATTAAAATGATGTAAGTCAGTACTAGGCCTACAACGTAACTTTCTTTTCAAGAACTTTTCTGCCTGGTCTTAGATTTAGAGTCTGGTAAATACTTTAGCAAGATGATGATCAGCTTTATTATTTCATGGCAAGACTGTTTCCACTTCTCTCTGGAGTTGGAACACAATATTTACAGTACAGTTTGCCACAGTGTATTCAGGGTTTTACTTGATTCACTTCTGAAGTACATAACACTGTACCATAGTGGAAGATGACACCAAGTGCATTGTATAAGAATTCAAAATTGTTAGTCTTTGGATGTGTGGGGATAGGGTTGTCATTTGTCCTGTAATATAAAATGGGGTACAGAGCTGCACTCTGAAACTAATGTACCTGGGTTATGTACAACACTAAGATTTCTTTGCTTTGCACTCTTATTTTATAGAATGTTTTAATAGAAATACTTCATTGTTTGAATCCCGTTCATCCTAATGTAATATTTAAGTAATATTTGGAAAACAGCTACAGAATGCATTTGGTGCAGATATTGTTGCTGTTATTATTGGACATGCTGCGATTTCCTTCTTTAAAAATGAATCTTTTAATTATGGATTGGAGTCAATTAAAAACACACCAGAACTGGCACCAGACAGCAGTTTAACCATGCCCCCCTGACCACTGTGATATGTATTTTGGCATCTTCTGTCTGCCTTTGTGAAAAGTCTTGTAATGTGTCAGCACCATGACAGTGTCCTGTTTCATGTTGAAAGTCCCCAGAGGCATTATACTACTGCACTGCTTATACCCTCAATAGGCACATGCTTTGGGACGTTTGATGCTCATCATGTTCAGTGCTCCAGCCATACCTTCAGGACAAAATCCTGTCCACAAATGTGATGATTGCAAAGCTGTTCCCTGTTTCTCTGGAGCCAGGCTCTCTTCCTCAGAATGTATCATCCACAGTGGGAAGCAGAGGTCACAGCAGAGTTGGTCTAGGAATCCATCTCCCTGGAAGCAGGTAAACTGGTAGCCCAGAAGGCTCCTCTGGAGCAGGGAGCTTCTTTGGCAAAGGGCGCTCACTCCAGGAAAATTAGATGCAATGCAGTTTGTCAGCACAGATTCTTCTGCTGGTCACCCGCCCCACCTGCTGGGCAGCGTCAAACCAGCACTTCAAAGGTATTGCTGATTGTACAGGATCATGTAAAATCTGTACCATTATCTATCCAAATTATGTACAGTCTGAATGTTTAGCTTTCACTGTGTCTTCAGACATGGAGCATTTTAGTTGTCTGAAGCTTACAAGGAGAGCCAGAAGCATGGATCTTTACCCTGGTGGGAAAGCCTGTCCCTGATCAAGCACTCTCGCTGCTACCATCTTGTCCTGTGTCCGCTTATTGACCACAGCAGGTGTGTGTGCTTAACACACCAGCGTTCCAGTGAGTATGTGTTTGAAGATAATGCTGTCTTTAGAGTTGATGTCTGGGATAAGACTACTCTTACTGTTCCGTCTTTTCTGGAACTACTTAGTTCCTTTTTTCTGGTTTCAGGGGACTCTTTACCCATCAGTTCTCTTGCCTGTTTACTAGTTTCTAATTGGAAGAATAATGGTATTTTCTTTACCCTTCAGACTTGATTTTGTCTGTGTTCCTTTCTGTCTATATCCCTTTCCTATAGCTGTTTGGCTGTCAGCTTAAGGAGAAGGTATTCTTCAAGCAACTGTTTTGAAGAGGCAATTATGAGGAATTTGTGGGAACTCACAATTCAGTTTTCTGGTACTCATATCTGAAGAATTTTTCATGTCTTGTTGCCATGCATGCAGTGGATTGAAATGTAGTTTAGGTCTTTTTGGCCGCCATATAGGATCATTACATTTGGTAAGGAACAACCTGTCTCACTTAAGCTGCTTTTTTCTTGTGGAATTAATGTGAAATGTATATTAAGTATGAGCTTTGTGAGCCTGTAAGGGATTTGTTTCATTTCTTGTGTAAATGGCACACGGTTGACGAACTTCTTATATGTGGCATTATTATACCAGTTCTCCAAATGTCACTGAATAAATTCCAGGCTGCCTTGGGCACTGATACAGAGTGAACACACAGGGGCAGGCTGAGCCTTATTGGAAAATGAGGGTTACATTCCTGGTGAGAAATAAAATTTATTTTCTTCAGGGGAGTTCCAGCAGGTATACTGGAATTCCTGGCTTGATTTTTTTTCTTTTTTAAAAAGATTCTTTAGGGGGAGTCTAGTAGCTCACTTACCCATATTTTCTTGGACATAGTCCCATTTCTCCAGCTTTGTTCTATCACAAAGTCTATTCCTAGCCTTCTCCAGCCAGTCTTTTCTGCTATGAAAACTTCATATAGTTGCTCTCTTGCTCTGTACTAGCTCACATGCAAATGTTGGTTGTATCCTGCCCTTTCAGTATCAACAACCTATTTTATTTCTGCAGAGCTCTCTTGCCTTCTAGGAGTAGCACACCTGCTGAGGTAAAGATGAGAGGACTGAGCACATGTTTTGCTCTGCAGAATTTATGAATAGGACAGGTTTTCAAAAGGAACGTAGCTTTTACATCTTCAAAAGCTGCTCTTTTGGGATATGTGAACCTAAGTCATCTTTTTCTGTCTCACTGTATATGTATTAATCATAGCTTGGTTCTTGCAGTCTGATGGCAAGATAGCAAGATTGGAACTGTGAGGCAGGAAAGTGTTTTAACTCTGCTTTCCATGCAGGTTAGTCAGAGGGACCTTCAGTACAAAAATTGATCTTTCTGTAGCCTTTCAGCACAGGGAACTTGTCTTTTAAGCTGCCTCCTTTTACTCAAGGAGAAAAGAAAATCATGTTTATATGTGAGAGGTGTGTATTGAACTTACAAAATGGAATTTCTTACTTCTGTATTGAAAAATGGAGTCAAAGCTCAAGTAGTCATAAAACAGGATCAAAATGCAAAAGATAAAAAAGGTGGCTGTCTCACCTTGTTCCATGTGAGCATCACGTTTGAGATTGCATGAATCTTCATGTTTCACAGCTCTGTTCTGCAGCCCCTTTTTAAACAGGACTTTTCTGGTTCTTAATTAAGTGGTGCTGGTGTTGAGCTGACAGGGGAGGCCTGACCAGAGGAAGTGAGCTTCAGGTGCAAACAGGTTTTGGCATTTGAGACTGGCAGTTGTACACCAATATGGTATTAGCAATCAAAACAGCCTGCCAGTGCTGTTATTAAATCTGTTTCTAGCAATCTACAAGTCTAATGAATTCTGTAACCTTTCACAGTTTAGGTACTGTTGAGTTGTTATCAGAGCTAAGTGTTTTCTGCTGAAAAAGACTGATAAATCCCATGGATTAAATTCTCTTGGAAACTTAACATTAGTTTTCTTGGTCTGAAACAGAGGCTGAGATTTACACAGCAGCAGTGTCCAGTAACAGTACTTTATCTCCTGTATCGTGTTGGAGGGAGAGCACCGTGGTGCTCCTGTGGCTTTGCAGTGTGGAGTAGGGTTTGATGTGTCTACTGCCGGACAAAGAATTTAAAAAATAAGTCTACCAAGGTGGTTCTTCTGTGACAGTGGTGCAAAATCCCCTTTGGGTGTGGGTTACTTCAACTGCTGAAGTTCTGTCTTTGGATGAGATGTTTTGGCCTCCTGACTGGACTAATGCTGCATTACCCTGGAGGGAAGCAACTGGCAGGATAGACCCCATAATTGTCGCTGATAATGTCGGAACGGCCAGAGCGACACAGATATCAGACGTAGTCCAGGTGTAAGGTGAACAGGAAGCTGTTTATTGCTCTCAAGTGTTTCTTTTATACTCTTTGTACACTATCGTGCCACAACACAATTGGTCAAAAGTCTCAAGCATAAAAAACTGTAGACACTGCACACACTCTTATTGGTGACACTGAAGACACTGTCCATGCTGTGACATGCTATTGGTGACACTATACACATTTTGATTGGTGACCTTTGGTCTGGGCTGCATTACATTTGTTCCGTCCGGCATTACAGTAAATATTTCCTAAAAGTTGTTTACATTCCTCGTCACTAATTGCCAGGCTGCTGACAGGTTCTCTGTCAACCCCGACACATAATCATCTCCTTTAAGGACTCCTTGCATTGGAATGGAAAATGCATGGTGTCTTGTAGGAGTGAGGCCACTATTTTTAGTAAGCTGAGGGAAGTGATGGTGTGGCTGAATGAATTTCTACTTTTGAAATAGTCATTCAGCAGCACCCACACCTGCGAGCTGGGATCATGTAGGGACTGAGGGATCCCAGTGATGATGAGCTGCACATGGTGCTGGTGAAAGCTAGATTCAGTCCTGCCAAGGGCTGCTGTAACTGGAAGCCTGAATGTAAAGTCACAGCTGGGAGCTCTGGTTAACACAGAGATT